CTTCGGTGAGGTTCTAGGTGACGCAGAGATGGCGAATTAACACATGTACATTAGCGGCGAACAACATTGGTAGAGCACTTACGGCTTCAATATAGCCCAGATTGATCTGACCGTATGTCGTCGATCCAATGAAGCTCTAGAGCCGAATCAACGATGAAAAAAAATGTTAAAAATTAATTAACGTCAAAGTGACACTGCCAAAGTCAAAGCAATCATGGATTAGGCATTTCATTTTAAATTTAGATAATATCAAGTGGTAAAGGGTATTAGTATTTTGGGTTGCGTAAAAATAATTTTCAGAAGTAATTCTCTCGTGACTAACCCTGTATACGTAAAATTGGCAACACTGCACGCACCTAATGCGTGAATACCTAGGGCTTACTTCCTGATTTCTTAGTAACGATGGTGATTTTTTTTTTTTTTTTTTAGGAGAATAATCATAACAACCAGTAGTCATTAATCGTTGTGCATTATTATTATTAATAAAACAAGCTATTATTTTTCATTAATAAATAAATAAAAAAATATTTAATAAGACATTTATAAAATTATAAACAAAAACAAAACCAACAAAACAAAAATCCATTAAAGCAAAACCAACTAAACACTTGAGAAAATTTTCAAAATTCCTGCCTTGTGCATATAGTAAGCCAGTGATGTTTCCAAATTTTGATATTTTTTTTGTAAAAGTTAGTTATCAATACTTGCTAAAATAAAACTGATTTTGTCAAATGACATACCCTCTAAGAAAAGAGAGGGTCGGTGGGCGGGGCTAGTAGCTGTCCAAATAAGACTGATTTTAGCAAATGACCTATCCTCTAAGAAATTTAATTAAATTATTATAAGAAACGACACTAGAGGCTCCAAGGACTTTCAAATTCTTTCCAAACAGAAATACCTACAACCTCAAGATTGTTTTAAATTTTTCAAATACAGGTCAGTTCAGAATTTTCCAAAAATAGAACACCAAAGCCCCTCAAATAATTTACAAAAAAATTTCCATGAGCTCCCAAAATAATACACCATGGGTATCTCGAATTAAAAAAAAACAACACTGCAGCACTCGATCAAGACTTCCAAATTCGTAAAAAATAAAACACTACGAGCTCAAACGATTTTTTCAAGTTCATTCATCGACAAAACACCAAATTCCTTTAAATTTATCCGAAAATAAAACACCAGAAATTCGTTCGAAAATCTGTCATATCAAAGGAAAAGCGAAGACTACAACCAGCATCTGTACTGAACACTCTACTCCTAAGTATTTTTAGACTTGCAAATATGTCTAAAATTTACAATTGTTGACTGCTTGTATTATTATTTTTTTTGACCTCATTATTTTATTATAACGTTATTTGACTTCAAAGACTGCCATTTTTTTGCTTCCCGAGCGTAAGCGAAGAAAATATGTATGTCATACGGGCCATCAGGAGATTAGCTATTTTCGTATTTCGTTTCTACGTTTCATGAGCCCCAGAATACGAAAAAATTGGTCTTCCGTTTCCGTCTGTCTGTCGTCTGTCTATCGTATGTTTGAAATTGTTATATTATTGAAGATTTTCTGAACGCGTCTGTAAGTTTATCTAAATTTTATCAAATAATACACTCCTAGACTTGTGGCTTATGAATCCGCCGTAATTTGTACCACAATTACGAGTCACAAAGTTACAATTCCTAAGACAAGAATGGTTAAGGTGACATTGAAAACCAAAGTAAAGAAGAAAGGAAGATGTAGGCCGTGGAAAGATAGACGCATGCTGTCATTTTCAAATCAGTGATGCCAACCACAAAGCGTAAGCATGGCCAACTACAAGTTGCAAAGTTTTCAATCGCAGTAGCACTCGCACCCATTATTATTAATTTATCCAAAAAAGCGATGACGATTAAAATCAAATACTGATACTTCATACGCATACAAACTAAAAATAGTGCCAGACAAGAAAACTGAATCAAGACAGTCGATTACCGTTTATCAAATTTAAGCGCTGGCGATTTGATCAAACTCAAAATATCAAAAATTCTGTTCAGATTTTGTAAAATAGACTTTGACCTATATTTTAACAAGTACTTGATATGGCAAAGGGTAAAGTAGAAATACTTACCCTTTTTATCGGATCACCTCTTCGTTCCGCCGTAACTTCAGCCTCCTAATTTCCCTTTATCACGAATTTACTCTTATTTAGAGTTACACTTCACTTCACATTAAATATTACATGTTGTGATAACCCAATCTTCCCGCCTTAAAATTTGACCTTGAAACAGTTTGAAAGGCCCGCGAAAAATTCAAAAATTCAAAGTTTGGCCTTGGCTGTGATCGTCTAACAAATGAGAACCTACGTTGTGAGTTTTTTTTTTTTTTTTTTGAAAAATGGCGGGAAGACGTTCTTTCATACAAGTGCATACACTGTCGAGAGCGCAAGAAATAATAGACAAAAATTGTTTTGGAGGGGGGGAAACGGCACCACCCTCACAGGGGGAAATACGCTGCGAAGATTTACCCCTCAGCGCAAAAACCCCCTTGGTTTTATTCCCGGACGACATTTTATTACATTTCAAACACCTTAAGATATGTGAAAGAAAAACACTCGCGAATTGACAGACATACACACACGAAAAACGAACAAACGGAAACTCTGTACATCTGTTTGGAATCAATGCAAATATTTGAATATCACAAATTTAATAAAACAAAGCAAAAACTGAATCAAGTAACTGGATGCAAGTACACAAGTTATTACAGGCGTGTGGCGGCCGATCTTCTTTCCCTTTTTTTTTTTGTTACGGCAGTTAACAGGAGTACAAGAAAAGTACCCCTGGAGTGTTGTGGCATAAGCGGAGTCTGAGCTACCGGTCTGGAACTGTTCTCCCCCCGCGACGGTGATTCTATCTATCGCAAAGCCTACCCCACACGCATATCCCATGACGAACTTTGCCCTGCGGAACTAGGCCATTACGGTCTTCCAACCCGCAAAGATCTCGACTATTGGGCCAAATCGAGAAATTCACAACGTCGGCGGCCGCCCCCTGAATCTATCCAAACCTGTGGACTTGTACAGGTGGCACGATAAATCTCGCCAGCTCGACTAGGAACCGAACTTTGCTTCTGCCACGTTTTCTGTGTTATTTAACCTCAGTTCCATTTTAAAATATTAAATCTCATATAACTCTGATGTTAACAACAACTGAACAAGTGTTAAAGTTTCAAAGAGCAATAAACAACATTTAAATTCGCCATACAATCTTGTGAAATCTTAAACAACAAATAATTCTTATGTGGGATTAAAGTTGGACATCAAATAATTTATATGATAGAAAACATTCATCAACAAAGTATTTACAAAACAAAACTTAGCAAGGATTTATGCAACAAAAGATCTGGTGTGAAATAAACTTGTACAAATAGAAACATTATGTGAGGTTAAAACTGTAGAACATGAAATTTACGTTCAATTAAAATTATCCAACAAATAAAATTTCTGAGGTTAAATTGTGAGATTAAAGAAATATTGTATGATGTGAAAATTTGCAGAGTTAACAAAATTTACAAGAGATTAATTTTTGCCACACTTTATCAACGGTTCAAACAAAGAGTTTACATTATGCCAAATTATATCATGATCTAAATGGTTGGTTACTTCAAAAATAATTTACTTTGAGAGTTTAAAATACTACGAACTGGTTACCCCAACAAAACACATAATAAACAAATACAAAAATATCCAATCATCGCTCCGAGGGAAAAAGCGTCTCGGTGATGTAAATCCCAAATCGTTGCGAGGAAAAAGCGTCTCGGTAACGTGAATTTTCTGTAGCGTTGGGGGCATGCCTTAATTAATTAATCAATCTGGCGTTGCGAAACATGCCCCGATGAATTAATCGTGATAACGATGATAACCACCTAAGGGGAGAAAATATCATAACCCCCCGCCAGTCCGCAGTATAATGAACTTGTTTAACTGCCGTAAATGAACTATTAGCAATCTTGTGTGAAGAATTTAGAAGTGTTATAATGTAACACTTACGTATATGCATCCAGAGACCTATTCGTAATTAAACATAAGGTGTTTTTCCTGACTAAGTGAATTTCATGAAATCTTCTAGCAAATGGTTAATTTAAATAATCCTGATTGTTAAATTGTGTTTGCTCTAGCTGAGTATTAAGAAAACTGACTTGATTGGTGAATTTACAAACAAAGAAACAGATTCACAACACGTGTTCGCGTCCGACCGGAAGTCTGCAATTTTCGATTAAAAGGGCGCAAGAATTTACCGCGCGGGTTGGGGACAACTGTATCATTATGAAAAATACGTTTGATCGTCGTTAAACAAAGGCTTCCTCCCGTTTTATTAACTACCAAACCAACTAATTTAAACCTAGCGCTTACCACGTGGTCACACACACACAGCCACATTCGTAATGCCCTACCATGCCGTTTTTCTACCAACCCTCTAACTGAAATTACCCTAGCGCTACGTGCTGCCATCTAACCCAAAGATCATGCAAACTAACTCCTAAGCGCTACGTGCATTAGACCATCCATGCATATTTGGTTGCCTATGTTTAAGGATTTCCTTTTTGTGATTGAACTCTTTTTTTTTTAAATTAAAATTATTCAAATGTGATTTCGCGCCGTTGTCAATTAATTTCAGCGCGAAAAGTTTGATTTAAATTCGGTCACCACAATGTTAATGTTCAAATTAAGAGTTTTTTCGTCCAGACAAACACAAATTTAATAAAAAACGCGACGCAATTCATCCCCGAAAACTCCAGCAACAAAATGGCGAAAAAAAACAAATGAAAATCGCAGCCCGCTACGCGTGTTCCACTTCAAATTGCACAACATTCTCAAACATCCACTAAAAAATCTGTTTACGTTCCAAAAGTTTGAATTTAACATTATTTAACTCAAATTTAGCGTTATTCACTCACCGCTTTTCCCAAAACCATCCAAAGAAATTTTTAAAGCGACCTGTCAAATTTAGCGCTGCAGCGCCGCCAACCCGTCCGCACCAAATTCCCCACGCGCACGTTATTTGTTTTTGTTTGTTAATGGCGTGTTAGAAAAGAATTCCAGCATATCCGGTGTTCGAAGACAACCAAGCACGAAAAAGCAACATGCCAGGCACAATCCTCGAGAACTTAAGCGGTCGCAAGTTGAGTATTTTGGTAGCTATTTTGCTCGTCAGCCAACTGGGATGCTTCTTCGTGGGTTTGATAGCCCCAAAACCCGCCACTTCCCAGGCGATTATAGCCACGACTTGCCTCGACAATCACACGGCGGCCAAGAATATGAACCACTGGGTCGGGCTGGACTGCCAGAGAATAGATTTGATGAAGCGGCAAGTGGAAGCAGCCGATGATATTGTGAGTACAGTGGGGGATTTTTGGCGTTTCTGACTTGATTTGTAGGTGCTGGTGGTGCAGATGCCGCTTTATGATTTGGACTTCTCGCGGTGGCAGCAGAATTTGGTCGGGATTCTCCAGTTCGATTTGATTTATCACAGTGGGTTGAATTTGGAGGAGTTCATCGTGGAGCTCACAATTGATGCACGTTTAGCCTATAGCAACAAAGCTGAACGTGGTGGACGCACACCGTGGACTTACTACGCACATTCAGAGGAAAAGCGCTACATGGATTGTGATATCGATGTCAAGACTGTCCGTGACCCGGATGGATACCCCTACAACTGCTCAATGGTACCTCTATTTGAGTTAGGTTCTCTCTATCACGATTATTATCTATTAAACTTGCGTCTACCCTACGACGAAAAACTCATGAAGAACGTTAATTTGCAAACAGTCCAGGATGTTTATTTACACATGATACACATGAATGGGGGCTTTACGCGAATTTGGGTGGCTCTTAAAACTTTCTTCTTTCCTGTTTTAATAGGAATAATGATTTGGTTTTGGCGAAGAGTACACATGTTGTCTCGAACCCCCGCCTTGCTTGAATACATGCTAATCTCCCTTGGAGGGACTCTCCTATTCTTAGACCTCCCTCTTGAATATTTAACCCTTTGGTTTAACATGCCCTACATGCTTCTCCTCAGCGATATTCGCCAAGGCATTTTCTACGCAATGTTGCTCTCTTTCTGGCTCGTTTTCGCAGGCGAGCACATGTTAATCCAAGACAATGGAGAAAAAAATAGCATAAAACTGTACTGGAAACACCTGAGCACGATCGTCATTGGTTGTCTTTCTTTACTCGTTTTCGATTTGTGTGAGCGGGGTATCCAACTAGTCAACCCGTTTTACTCGATTTGGGTGACCCCCATTGGTACCAATCTCGCCCTGTCTTTTATCATCCTTGCCGGTATTTCCGCTAGCATGTATTTCATCTTTTTGTGTTACATGATTTGGCGCGTCTTCAAAAACATTAGTATTAAACGCTCAGTCTTGCCAACTATGTCTCAAGCTCGCCGTCTTCACTATGAAGGTATTATTTATCGTTTTAATTTTTTGATGTTGGCGACCGTGGTGTGTGCCGCTGTTACCGTAGTCTCGTTTATTTTGAGTCAAGTGGCTGAGGGCCAGAACAAGTGGGACGAAAATATGGAGATTGAGTTGTCGTCGGCTCTACACACTGGCGTTTACGGAATGTGGAATGTTTATATTTGCGCTATGTTGATGTTGTATGCTCCTAGTCATAAGCAGTGGCCGGCTGAGCCCATTTGTGCCGAAGGAGAAGAGGTGGAGTTCAGCAGGTTGCCTACCGACCCGAGTCCTAATGAGATTTCTTCTCTTACTTCTTTTGCGTCCAAGGCTAGTATTGAGTAAGTGTGTTAGTGTATTTGTATGTATATTTTTATTTTCGATGTCAAGTAACAGCATCCTCTTTGACTGATTTTAAGCAGCGTAAGTTATATGACGTATATAGGTGTTATATTTAACTACCTATTAATGCTTATTAGAATCTCGTAAGTACTTAATATTCTCTTTAACGAATTTGTGATTATGTAGATATTGTATTGCACAAGCACATATTTGTATATTTATACCTCATCTAGACGCGGATATCTATTTAAATGTTTTTTAGAATTTTTACTATTTACGACTCGTCCTGTAAACGTAACAATTATTGTTGTATGTTTTGTTAGTATTACGGAGCTATATTGTTGTGATTATTTCGATATTCTTAACTCAGTACAGTGATTTTTATATATAGGGAACCCAATCAGTATTTTGTCGCATTTCCTAATAAACGATATGCATAGTAGAGGTTGTGGTTATTGTTTTTTCGTAATTTCTAGAACCATCTTGCTTATTAAATTAGGTATATTGGTTTAGATTTTGTATTCCAGAGCAATTTTGTGGTTAGAATGTCAACAGTCTTAATATTGGAAAATTACACACCAAAGTGACAAAAAGTCGAATACAAGTTGGCTTTGGAATTTCCTAAATTTGCCGCTTCGTTATGATGATTAGTGATTGCTTGTCACAAATGCCAATTATAACCTATGCAGTGACAGTTTTCCAAAATTCCTATATGGTTTTTGAATAATTACCTTGCAGATTTAGATTATGTGTAAAACAATCAATAATGATATAAGACACAAGCGTTTCTTGGAATAACACCTGTTATAGTATTTACATTTTTGTATAAACAGTGATCATCTTTCTTGCGCTATTTTTATACTTGGAGGTTTTGCACATTTTTAGTCACGTTCATTTGTATAAAAAATGAATCACGCTTGAATTTATTGAAATATAAAATGAGTTTTCTTTTGATATTAGGTTTGTGGGGTGTTTCCTAACATCCTGACAATATTATAAAAACGTCGAAGTTGTTTAGATATTACTTTCCTTGTCCTCCAATCAAATTTATATGTATATTTTATATTTTTTGGTGATAACGCAAAAGTTGAAATAAAATATAGGTGGATTATTATTTAACTACAGGTGAAGGAACATGTGAGACTTCCTTAATCATTTGTGATTAAGTAGTGTATGACCGAAAAAAAATCCTCTAGTATGTAGTGCAATTTATCTCTAAAATAATTATGTTGGCATTTCAATTATTTCACCGCAAATTCCCTATATTATTAATATAGATATTCTGAATAGTGATAAATCACTGTTTTAGCTCTCAACTACCCCTGTATAAATCAAGAACGTAGTAGTCAAGGTGTGCAGACTGTCTGTAACTCAAACACATCCAAAATTGAAGGTATAAACTGAACAGTGACTTGAAGAAAATTAAATCCTTTGGTTTATTTAAATCTGGGATTCGTCAATTTCTGCTAGGTAAATGTTTCTACAGTGTTGAAGAATATTTTAACTTATAGATATTCTCTTTGTTTTTTATGTTACAAATTTAATTTATGTTTCTTATGTTACTAATTTGACTAGCCTTATAAATCATGTATGATTTAAATGGTGAATAAAATTATTATTATTATTATTATTATTTGACCGTAAGTGTCAAACTGAGCAAAAAACTTGTTGGTGTTGCCAACATTATTTTAAAAATAAATTGCCCACTAGATGAGTTTTTTTTTATTATATTATATGATATACTAACACGGCTGTAGAATAGATAAGTTGAGTATCTTTCATTCATTCACGTTCCGGTAGGTGGAATAATTTCTTTCCGTACCAGTTGGCCATGACGCGCGTTTTCAAATGGGTCCCTCTTACGGTATTTAGAGGCATTAATTTTTGCCACATCAAAAGGACACGATTATACCGATATAAATGACAACTTTGACATTTAATCAAAGCATTTAATAATAATTTTTATGTTAAACGTTCAATCTTTTGGAAGCGTCTTTGACCATTGTTTACACTAGCTACTATGAGACTTCTCTGAAACCGTTTTTGCAGAACCCTCACAACGCCCCTGCCCTGATCGCGTTCCTACTCGTCAAATGTTATGAGAAATGTTTGTACAACATTTGAAGGTTAGGTACGAACGTGATCAGGGGTGTTGTATGAGGTTTTTGTGGGGGCGGATTCGGCAAAATCGCGGTGGCTAATGTAATCAATTACCGAAAAGTTCTTAACCAGTACATTGTCAACTTGTTTTTCGAAGGAATCTGTGTTTATCTGGTCATCGCACATGTTTGTTTAATGATTGTTTACATGAAACAATAGTGCTAGAAATATCGAACAAACTTGCGGTTGCCGAGGTTTGTTATGTATAAATGTACGTTCCTCTCTGAGTTGGCGATCTCGTTAAACCAATTTAAACAGTAATTTCTATCATAATACATCAATTAGAAGTAGAATGACAGTTTTGGCAGCCTGTCAGTTGTCAATTTGCCATTGCAGTAGTGGAAAATTTCATTCATCAAGATGTTAGTGTTTAATCGTAATTCACAGATGGCGAAACGATCTAACGCGCGCCAAAGCCGCCTAGGACACCCAAATTTTATTCCACCAAATTTCCCTTAGTGTACCAACCTTATATTCTACAGCCGTGTATACTAATAACAATGACGCTGTGTTTGTTTTAATTGTTTTAAAACAGATTTTTACTTCCCGAGCGTGAGCTATGGAAGTAACTATACTTCCTTACTAAATCGAGTCCATCGGACGAATGATCACTTTTATATTTTCTCGACGTTTCCGTCTGACTGTCTGGTGTCTGTATCCATTTTTATTAGACACGTAATCTTCGAAACTGCTGGACCCATTGTTGTCAAATTTTGTATGTATATTAGAAATATCAAAATTTTGCTAATCATCCCCAACAATTTGATGACGTCATTTCAAAGAATTCTATGTTTATTTGATTTAACTGTTATACGACAATATAGTCCTATAAGCGTGGTTTACGAATCCGCTTTGAGTTTTTCCCTAACCGTCCAAATTTTTGGAAAAACAATGCACGGTATAACAGTTTACCATTAGCGACCATCCCGGCGGTGGTCTAGTGGTTACGAGTCAGGAATGCGGACCGGACGTCGCGGGTTCGATTAACTTGGCCTTTTATAGATGAAATTATCCCACTTTCTCGAAAAGGTGATAATAAGCCCTTCTTTATTTAAAAGTGTAAAACCTTCTCGGGACCGTGAATTTTTTTTTTTTTTTAAGAATGTGTAACTTCCTCTGGAGCGCCAAATGTCTTTTTTTTAATGTGAAACTTTCGCGGGGCTCCGAACTGTCTTTTATGTAAAACCTTTTCGGGGGACCCAAATGTATATATTTTTTTAAATGTTACCTTCTGGGGGGTCCCAAATGTCTTTTTTAAAAATGTAAAACTTCTCGGGGGCGTCAAATGTTTTTTTTAGAATGTGAAACTTACTTGAGAGTCCCCCCTGTTTTTTTTTTATTGTAAAATCTTTTCGGGGGCCCCAAATGTTTTTTTTTCTCGGGGGTCCCAGCTGTCTTTTTTAAAAATGTAAAACCCCAGGGGCGCCAAAAGTCTTTTTTAAGATTGTGAATCCTTCTCGTGGGTCCCAACTGCCATTTTTTACGAGTGAAAAACCCTCTCGGAGATCCTAAATGTCATTTATTAATTTGAAGCCTTGTTGGGGCTCCGAATTGTTTTTTTTTTTTTTTTTAAGTAAAACCTCAGGGACGCCAAGTCTTTTTTAAGAGTGTGAAACCTTCTCGTGGGTCCCAATTGTCTTTTTTTAAGAATGAAAATCCTTCTCAGGGGCCCCAAATGTTTTTGTTTTTTTTTTAAGAATGTGAAACCCTCCCGGGGGTCCCAATTATCTTTTTTTTTAATGTGAAACCTTCTCGGGGGGTCCCAACTGTCTTTTTTAAAAATGTAAAACCTCGGGGGCCCCAAATTGCTTTTTTTTATTGTGAAACCTCGGAAGTCGTAACTGTCTTTTTTAAAGGCGGAGAAGGCCCCAAATGCCCTTTTTTCATTTGAAACGTTCTCCGGGCTTCCAACTGTCTTTTTTAAAATTGTAAAACCCTCTCAGGCGTCCCAAATGTCTTTTTTTAATGTGTAAGCTCGGGGCTCCCAGCTTTTTTTTTAATGTAAAACCTTCTCGGGGGCGACAAATGTATTTTTTTAATAATGCGAAACCTTCTCGGGGGGTCACAACTGTCTTTTTAAAAACGTAAAACCTTCTCAGGGGCGCCAAAAGTCTGTTTTAAAATCGTGAAACCTTCTTTTTTTTTTACGAATGAAAAACCTTCTCGAGGGCCCCAAATGTTTTTTTTTTTAATATGAAACCTTGTCGGGGCTCCGAGCTGTCTTTTTTAAAAATTAAAACCTTCTCAGAGACGCCAAATGTCTTTTTAAAGATTGTGAAACCTTCCCGTGGGTCCCAACTGTCTTTTTTTAAAGAAGGCTAAACCTTCTAGGGGGCCCCAAGTGTCTTTTAATATTAAATCTTCTCGGGGTCCCGAACTGTGTTTTCTAATAATATAAAACCTTCTCGGGGGCCCCAAATGTGTTTTTTTTATGTGAAACCTTCTCGGGGGTCCCAACTGCCTTTTTTGAAAATGTAAAACCTTCTCGGAGGCCCCAAATGTCTTTTTTTTTAAAGAATGAGAAATCTTGTCTGGGGTCCCAACTGTTCTTTTTTAAAGGCGGAGAAGGCCCCAAATGCCCTTTTTTCATTTGAAACCTTCTCGGGGCTTCCAACTGCCTTTTTTAAAAATGTAAAACCCTCTCAGGCGTCCCAAGTGTCTTTTTTTTTAATGTGTAACCTCGGGGCTCCCAGCTGTCTTTTTTTTAATGTAAAACCTTCTCGGGGGCGACAAATGTATTTTTTTTAATAATGTGAGATCTTCTCGGGGGTCCCATATATCTTTTTTTTTTAATGTGAAACCTTCTCGGGGGGTCACAACTGTCTTTTTAAAAATGTAAAACCTTCTCAAGGGCGCCAAAAGTCTGTTTTAAAATTGTGAAACCTTCTCGTGGGTCTCAACTGTCTTTTTCTACGAATGAAAAACCTTCTCGGGGGCCCCAAATGTTTTTTTTTTTTTTTAATATGAAACGTTGCCGGAGCTCCGAATTGTCTTTTTTAAAAATGTAGGTAAAACACTCTCGGAGTTACCAAATGTCTTTTTTTAATGTAAAACCTTCTTGGGGTTCCCAGCTGTCTTTTTTAAAAATTAAAACCTTCTCAGAGACCCCAAATGTCTTTTTAAAGATTGTGAAACCTTCCCGTGGGTCCCAATTGTCTCTTTTTAAAGAAGGCGAAACTTTCTAGGGGGGCCCGAGTGTCTTTTAATATTAAATCTTCTCGGGGCTCCGAACTGTGTTTTCTAATAATATAAAACCTTCTCGGGGGCCCCAAATGTGTTTTTTTAATGTGAAACCTTCTCAGGAACCCCAAATGTCTAAATGTCTTTTTCTTAATGTGAAACCTTCTCGGGGGTCCCAACTGCCTTTTTTGAAAATGTAAAACCTTCTCGGGGGGGCCAAATGTCTTTTTTTTTAAGAATGTGAAGCCTCTGGGATCCCAACTGCCCTTTTTTAAAGAAGGCGAAACCTTCTCGGGGGCCCAGGTGTCTTTTTTTAAGAATATTAAATCTTCTCGGGGATCCCGACTGTATTTTTTAAACATGTAAAACCTTCTCGGGGACCCCAAATGTCTTTTTTTTAATGTGAAACCTTCTCGGGGGGCGCAAGTATCATCTTTAAAAATGTAAAACCTTCTCGGGGGCCCCAAATTGCTTTTTTTTATGTGAAACGTCGAAAGTCCCAACTGTCTTTTTTAAAGGCGGAGAAGGCCCCAAATGCCCTTTTTTCATTTGAAACCTTCTCGGGGCTTCCAACTCCCTTTTTTAAAAATGTAAAACCCTCTCAGGCGTCCCAAGTGTCTTTTGTTTTAATGTGTAACCTCGGGGCTCTAGTTGTCTTTTTTTTTTTAAATGTAAAACCTTCTCGGGGGCGACAAATGTATTTTTTTTAATAATGTGAGATCTTCTTGGGGGTCCCATATATCTTTTTGTTTTAATGTGAAACCTTCTCGGGGGGTCACAACTGTCTTTTGAAAAATGTAAAACCTTCTCAAGTGCGCCAAAAGTCTGTTTTAAAATTGTGAAACCTTCTCGTGGGTCTCAACTGTCTTTTTTTACAAATGAAAAACCTTCTCGGGCCTCCGAACTGTCTTTTTTAAAAATGTAGGTAAAACCCTCTCGGAGATCCCAAATGTCTTTTTTTAATGTAAAACCTTCTTGGGGTTCCCAGCTGTCTTTTTTAAAAATGTAAAACCTTCTCAGGGGCGTCAAATGTCTTTTTTAAGATTGTGAAACCTTCTCGTGGGTCCCAACTGTCTTTTTTTAAAAATTAAAAACCTTGGGGGCCACAGATGTTTTTTTTTTTAAGAATGTGAAACCTTCTCGGGGTTCCCAACCGTCCCTTTTTAAAGAAGGCGAAACCTTCTCGGGGGCCCAAATGTCTTTTTTTAAGAATATAAAATCTTCTCGGGGCTCCGAATTGTGTTTTCTAAAAATATAAAACCTTCTCGGGGGCCCCAAATGTCTTTTTTTAATGTGAAACCTTCTCGGGGGCCCTAAATGTCTTTTTTTTTATGTGAAACCTTCTCGAAGGTCCTAACTGTTTTTTTTTAATGTAAAACCCCGGAGGCGTCAAATGTCTCTTTTTAAGGATATGAAACCCTCTCGGGGGTGCCAACTGTCTTTTTTCAAGAATGTAAAACCTTGTCGGGGGCCCCAAATATTTTTTTTTTAAGAATGTGAAACCTTCTCGGGAGTCCTTTTTTAAATAAGGCGAAACCTTCTCGGGCCCCCTCCCAAGTGTCTTTTTCTAAGAATATTCATTCTTCTCGGGGCTCCCAATTGTCTTTTTAAACAATTCTTTTTTTTTTCTTCTATTACACTATGACTATTAGTTTCTATATTGTTTTTCCTCGATAGAGGTTACCACAAAAAAGTATAATTCCGCAAAATCAAATTTTTCAGAGAAGCAGTATTTATTGGACGGTACTTCAGAAGCGAGGGAAGTTCTGTCGAAATAACTTTCGACCAATTTTTTTTGTTTTAAAAAGGACACGTGCTTTTTTGTTTTAATTATTATTTTTTTAATTATATTTTTCAAATGTGTGATGTGGCTGACTGTTTTGAGTTTTGTTAGCAAGAGTAGAGATTTTGAAATTTCAGGCTCCTATATGTATGTTATTCCAAAATCAAAAACCCACCAACACCGCAGTTTTTTCGAAAATATAACTGCAAATGTTGCCAAAGTGAATTTTGTGATATATTCTAGTGCGAAATAATTTAAGATTATGTTTCATTTCATAGAATTAGAGGAAACCCCCTCTAACTCCATGTTTAATTTCCACTGACAGTTTCTTTCCATTTGTAAACTTGAAATTGACAATCCGTGACAAGAAGGTCTCATACTTTGCACTGCCAATATGAGAATAATTAAACTGTAATACTCCAAACATCCCGCCATAATTTAACATGTGAAGAAATTTTAAACCCGCGAAAAATTGAAAAACTTGACCTTGAACTGTGAACGTGGTGTGTTTTTTATTGCGGAATGCGTTCAAATGCAAAGTGGTGAGCCCTAAGGTTGGAAAAGCGCCCCTAAATCAAACATAAAATATGGATTACGACATTATGTAACGAATCAATCACGATAATTGGAAATCACAAATTAAAAAAAAAACCACTCCCGTTTTTCGAGTCCACGAGGGTATGAAATTAACAACTTTTTAAGTAAGGTCCTTTTTCTCAAAATGGACCAACGTTTAGATCAGTTTAAATGCCATTCGCAATCGCATTAACAGCGGAAAAAGCAATAATAAATGCATCGTACCTACCTCGAGTCATACAGTTCCTGTAATAGATCAATTCAAGAATTATAGCCTTCATTTTTGTAGCTTCGACGGCTGACCATTATGTAAGTACGAGTGTCTTTCCTCTTATAAATTATGGTATTGTTTGATTGCATTTCCCACACGGATTTTCCTTTTACCTTTTTTTTAATTGCTATTTCATTTAGTTCTTCCTATGATATAACACTGTAATTGAAGCAGACATCCAATACCGCCCATTGCATTACATAAACTGCATAGGGCCAATTAATGTGGTTGCAGAGCCGGCCCAGGGGCATCTAAACTTGTAGCTGTCATGCAGAAACTGCCTTTTTTTCAATAATTATTACTTCTGCTGGTTGTAATTTGAAATTATGGATACTCACCAAGCCTACCAGGCTCAAGTTTATTACCTCTTTATGAGGAAGAATCAGGCAGAAGCAATAACAACACATATTCAAGATTATATACTCTTACTGTATTTGAAAAAATAGAATTACAAAATTATCGTTAAATTTATCAACGTTTTTATGTAAACCTACAACTACGTCGTCTACAAAAACGCGAACAGGCTATACCATGGCAAAATTACAAATTTCCCTAACTTACAATAATATGGCTTCAAAAATACGGAAGTACATCCCTATGTTACACTATGTTACAAATGTACAAAACTCTCTTCCAGAAAATCGGAAACATCTATAATACAACTTCAATGCAACATTGAATTTACTGTACATACCGTCAATCGAAACAACAAACCCTCGTTTCAATTGAGCAAAAAAATAAAAAAGGCACTACACGTAACTCTCGCTCTCGGCATCCGTAACTAGCAGCAACTTGGCGGTGGCGTAGATCGGGGGCGGCGGCGGCGGCGGTCGGTACATGGGCGGCAAGTGCACCGGCGGCAGGTGGCGTAGGGGCGGCGGTCGCCGCGGTGGGATAGGCGGCCCGCACAGGCTTTCATTGGAGGCGCAAAAAGCCTCGTCTTCTTCTATCCAGGTGTTGTCCAGGGACCGGATCCTGGCGGCCTGCCGCGCCCAGTCGGAGCGGTGGAAGGAAGGGTTGTGGTAGTTCAGTCCGGGACTGTCGCGGTCGTCCTCGGAGAGGGTGAGCCCCGAGTCGCGACTGAGGGATTTCTGGTCCTTGCTCAACTCGACACTGTCTAACGAAAGACCCAGTGCTGGAAAAAAGTACCACATTATGTTGGGGGTCGCTCAAAGCTCAGTCGTAGGTTTTCGTTTTTAGTATTTAGAGGTACCTCATCTTTCAGAGACCTCTACAATACCTAAATCTTCTAAAATGACGGTCCTAGGCGTCCGAAATTTTAGTTGAACGTGGAATATCTACATTATGTGGAATATTATGATAAATTCACCGGATATTTCTCCTGAACAGCAACCAAATCCAAGCGTTCGAAATGGATAGAAAAAGAGTGAACAGGAAGGAGCCATTAAGTAGGCGTAATTTTGCCTTTTGTTATTCATATTATTCAGAAGAGGCGGTTCTGGTACGCTATTAATTACAAATCAGCCTCTGTTAATTAATCTATATCTTTTAAATCCATTTAAATATTTCCTACACTTTAACCGGTAAATGCGATATAATCAAGAATTTTGCAACACGTGACGCAAATTTTTTCCCAAACCTTGAATTGATATGCAAATAATTATACGATCCGAAAAAAAAAACTCCGCGTGTTTTTTATCAACGACAAGCAATTAAAAAAGGTGACTCACAGTGCAAGCTGTCAGACTCCTCGGCACCGCTATCGTTGGCAACCTCGCCCAACAGCGAAACGACTTGAGGTCCGAACAAAACCTGGCAATTGTTGATTAACATCTCAACCAGTGTGGGCAACGTCCGCAAGGGGGCGTTCTGGACGGACTCCCAAAGCAAACTCGGGCCAACGCACACACCTTAATTTAAAAAAATTAGTAAGAGGAAGTGACGATGTGAGAAACGACATACCCAAGTTGGCCGCCGACATCAGGTTGAATCTGGCACGTTTGGCGATATTGTACAGGACGCAGATCACGTTGGCTAAGAGTAAGTGGTTTTCGCGGGGTAGGAGATTGAGCAATCGTCGTAGATGGTCGGTGCGGCCGCTGCTGGCCACGTTCAACCATTCCTGAGCGTTGCCGGTCAGCAACGGTTCCGGAAGACTTCGCAGGAAGTCCTTGAGCAGAGCGGCGAGGAGCAGCGCCGGAGTGTTGGCGATTTCCTCGCAAACGGCCGCACCTTGAGTGTCTACCTTCTCGCGGAGCTCGCGAAGAGCCCGGGCTGAGGCACACCGTCGGAAGATACCCTGGGTGTGGGGGCCTCTCTGGAAGAGGGCTCGGAGGCACGCTGTAATGGCTGGGGGCAAGGCGTTGTTTGTACAAAGGCGAGATAAAGGCAGTCCGAAGAGCCGGCCGGTGGTCTTTCGGAACAGTTTCAACGGGGTTCTAAAAATACACATTAAGTACCTAATCATTAACTCACTTTGTGAAAAACTTACTTTCTGGGTGAGGGTTTGATGTTGGGTTTGAGCTCGAAGACTATGTCACTCGGTATCCGATTGTTGTTACAGTGTGTTAGATCGAAGCCTTCTTCGGCACACAGCGACTGCCTCAGCCTCGCTAACTGGATGGAATGAGGTCTTTCGCACCCGATTAAGGGACAAGGAGCGTTGTCTCTGTCTCTGGCATACAGGGTGTAGGCCCATTCTCCTATTCTGGATTCGTCCAAGGCTAGTCGAGCTACATCTCCAGAACTCATCTCAGGGCCGATACCCAGCGTTTTGGAACACTCGGTTCCACTTAAAGGGTCTCTGTACACGACTTTGATGTTGGTGGTGGGTGGTTCTAAGCGTAGTTGTGCTTCGAGGGCTTGCTGGAGTTCTCGCCACCAGGAGTCTCTGGCTGCTTGGGTGCAGAATGTCACTAGGTAGGTTCTGGCGGGGGAGGGCCAGCCGAGGAGGAACCCGGTTTCGGATTCAGGGCAAGGGGCTATCCACAGTTCGGATACTCGAACGCTTTCCTGGTGACAAAGAGTAGACGTTTATTTATTGTTTGTTATACAGCAATCAGTACGTTATTTTACGCGAAAATTCATGTTCGGGCGCAGGAAACCTTGTCGTGTGAAAGCAGAAATATACGCCGGACGTCCGAATACCCCAATAATGAAATACATTCTTTTAATATGCGACGTATAATTATTTTTTTTTAATTTATTCTTGACATAGATCACACTCCAGGCAAATTGAAGCGTGGGTTTGGTCACGTGGAAATTGTCGTGAGGTAACGGTTGTTTGAAGAAAACTTGTAAGGTAGTGTGTGGGCTGAAGCTTTCACTTTTTGGTTTTCATTTTTGTGTTTTTTATAAAATTGTTGTATTGAAAGTTATGCGAGAAAATTAGAAATTTAATTATTGCCGATTGATAATAATCAGGTAAAGTAAAACTTGTTAATGTTTAATGAATTACTGTTGTAATTTATAAGACAGGACGGGATATCAATATTTTTATCTAACATCAAACATGAAGCGATTATTTCGAACAGGAAATAACTTAGAAGAGGAAGAGCTTCAACACAAATCTTTGGAGCAAATTTTGATATTTAATAACGTGACGGTTCAATTTTTTGCTAAACAGTCAGATATGTGGAAAAGAACTAATGTGTAATAAATTATTTAAAAAGAAACAACTAAGTGGGAACATATTTCCTCATTTAAACAGAAACAAAAGTTGCATTAATTTTTATATATAAAAAACAAAAACAATTGGAGCCCCCGAGAAGGTTTCATCTAAAAAAAAAAAGACCCCCGAGAAGGTTTCATCTAAAAAAAAAAAGAGACCCCCGAGAAGGTTGCATCTTAAAAAAAAACACAGGTAGGACCTCCGAGAAGGTTTCAGTCTTAAAAAAAAACGGTTGCCCCCCCCCTCTGAAGGTTTCACATTCTTCCTTCTTAAAAAAAAAGAAAGTTGGGAGCCCCGAGAAGGTTTCAGATTCTTAAAAAAAAGGCACTTAACCGAGAAGGTTTCATTTTCTTAAAAAAAAGACTTGGGGCCCTTGAGAAGGTTTGGCATTCTCCAAAAAACATATTTAGGGCCCCCGAGAAGGTTTCATCTTAAAAAAAAACAGCCAGGACCTATGAGAAGGTTTCAGTCTTAAAAAAAACGGTTGCCCCTCTCTGAAGGTTTCCCATTCTTCCTTCTTAAAAAAAAAAATTGGGAGCCCCGAGGTTTTAGATTCTTAAAAAAAGACGCTTACCCAAGAAGGTTTCATTTTCTTAAAAAAAGACTTTTGGGGCCTTTGAGAAGGTTTGGCATTCTCCAAAAACACATATTTAGAGCCCCCGAGAAGGTTTCATCTTAAAAAAAACACAGTTGGGACCCAAGAGGTTTCATCTTAAAAAAAAAAACACAGTTGGGACCCTCGAGAAGGTTTCATCTTAAAAAAAACACAGGTAGGACCTCCGAGAAGGTTTCAGTCTTAAAAAAAAAACGGTTGCCCCCCCCCCCCCCTCTGAAGGTTTCACATTCTTCCTTCTTAAAAAAAAAAGAAAGTTGGGAGCCCCGAGGTTTCAGATTCTTAAAAAAAAAGGCACTTAACCGAGAAGGTTTCATTTTCTTAAAAAAAAGACTTGGGGCCCTTGAGAAGTTTTGGCATTCTCCAAAAAACATATTTAGGGCCCCCGAGAAGGTTTCGTCTTAAAAAAAAACAGCCAGGACCTATGAGAAGGTTTCAGTCTTAAAAACGGTTGCCCCTCTCTGAAGGTTTGCTATTCTTCCTTCTTAAAAAAAAAAAAAAATTGGGAGCCCCGAGAAGGTTTTAGATTCTTAAAAAAAGACGCTTACCCAAAAAGGTTTGTTTTTCTTAAAAAAAAGACTTTTGGGGCCTTTGAGAAGGTTTGGTATTCTCCAAAAACACATATTTAGAGCCCCCGAGAAGGTTTCATCTTAAAAAAAACACAGTTGGGACCCAAGAGAAGGTTTCATCTTAAAAAAAAAAAACAGCCAGGACCTCTGAGAAGGTTTCAGTCTTAAAAAAAAGACTTGGGGTCCTTGAGAAGGTTTGGTATTCTCCAAAAACACATATTTAGAGCCCCCGAGAAGGTTTCATCTTAAAAAACACACAGTTGGGACCCGAGAGAAGGTTTCATCTTAAAAAAAAAACAGCCAGGACCCCTGAGAAGGTTTCAGTCTTGAAACAAAAACGGTTGCCCCCCTCTGAAGGTTTCACATTCTTCCTTCTTAAAAAAAAGAAAGTTGTGAGCCCCGAGGTTTCAGATTCTTAAAAAAAGGCACTTAACCGAGAAGGTTTCATTTTCTAAAAAAAAAGACTTTTGGGGCCCTTGAGAAGGTTTGGCATTCTCCAAAAAAAACATATTTAGAGCCCCCGAGAACGTTTCATCTTAAAAAAAAAAACATCTAGGACCTCTAAGAAGGTTTCAGTCTTAAAACAAAAATGGTTGCCCCCCTCTGAAGGTTTCACATTCTTCCTTCTTAAAAAAAAGAAAGTTGGGAGCCCCGAGGTTTCAGATTCTTAAAAAAAGGCACTTAACCGAGAAGGTTTCATTTTCTAAAAAAAAGACTTTTGGGGCCCTTGAGAAGGTTTGGCATTCTCCAAAAAAAAAACATATTTAGACCCCCAGAGAAGGTTTCGTCTTAAAAAAAAACATCTAGGACCTCTAAGAAGGTTTCAGTCTTAAAAAAAACGGTTGCCCCCCCCTCTGAAGGTTTCACATTCTTCCTTCTTAAAAAAAAAAAGAAAGTTGGGAGTCCCGAGAAGGTCTCAGATTCTTAAAAAAGACACTTACCCAAGAAGGTTTCATCTTCTTAAAAAAAAAAAGACTTTTGGGGCCCTTGAGAAGGTTTGGGATTCTCCAAAAACACATATTTAGAGCCCCCGAGAAGGTTTTATCTTAAAAAACACACAGTTGGGACCCGAGAGAAGGTTTCAGTCTTAAAACAAAAACGGTTGCCCCCCTCTGAAGGTTTCACATTCTTCCTTCTTAAAAAAAAGAAAGTTGGGAGCCCCGAGAAGGTTTCAGATTCTTAAAAAAAGGCACTAAACCAAGAAGGTTTCATTTACTTAAAAAAAAGGCATTTGGGGCCCTTGAGAAGGTTTGGCATTCTCCAAAAAAACATATTTAGAGCCCCCAAGAAGGTTTTATATTAAAAAAAAAGCCCCCCGAGAAAGTCTCACATTCTCCAAAAAAGACATCTGGGATCCCCGAGAAGGTTTCAGTCTTAAAAAAAATGCGCCCCCCCCCAAAGGATTCATTCTTCTTTCTTAAAAAACAGTTAGAGCCACCCCCGAAGGTTTTATATAAAAAAAAAACAATTAGAGTCCCCCCCCGCCCAGAAAGTTTCATATTTAAAAAAAGGCACTTGCCCGAGAAGGTTTCATTTTATTAAAAAAAAAAAAGACAGTTGGGACTCCCGAGAAGATTTCAGTGTTAAAAAAAAAACAGTTGGGCCCCCAGAAGGTTTCAAATTCTCCAAAAGAAGACAGTTGGGGCCCCCGAGAAAGTAGCATATTTAAAAAAAAGACACTTAGAACCCCCGAGGAGGTTTCAGTCTTAACCCCCCCCCCTCCAAGGTTTCACATTTTTCCTTCTTAAAAGACAGTTAGAGTCCCCCCCAAGGATTTATATATAAAAAAAAAACATTAGAGCCTCCCCAGAAGATTTCAGTTAAAAAAAACGGTTGGGTCCCCCCCCAGAAGGTTTCACATTATCTCTTTTTAAAAAAAGACAGAGTACCCGAGGTTTCATTTTCTTAAAAAAAAAAAGACTTTAGGCCCCTCCAAGAAGGTTTAACATTCTTGAAAAAAAGACAGTTAGAGCCCCCGACAAGGTTTACCATTAAAAAGAAAACAATTGCAGCCCCGCGAGAAATTTTCACATTCTCAAAAAAAAAAAAACAGTTGGGACCCCCCGAGAAGCTTTCAGTCTTAAGCCCCCCCCCCAGAAGGTTTCACATTCTTCCTTCTTAAAAAAGATCGAGCCCCCGAGAAGGTTTCACATTCTCTAAAAGAATATAGTTGGGACCCCCGAGAAGATTTCAGTCTTAACACAACGGTTGCCCCCCCCCCCCCCCAGAAAGTTTCATACAGAGTCCCCGAGAAGGTTTCACATTCTCTAAAAGAAGATAGTTGGGGTCCCCGAGAAGGCTTCAGCCTTAAAAAAAACGCCTCCCCAAGGTTTCACATTCTTCCTTCTTAAAACAAAGACAGAGCACCCGAGAAGGTTCTATTAAAAAAAAGACTTTTGGGGCCTTCGAGAAGGTTTCATATTCTTACAAAAAAGACACTTGCCCGATAAGGTTTCTTCTTCTTTAAAAAAAGACAGTTGGGGCTTCCGAGAAGATTTCAGTGATAAAAAGAACGGTTGGACCCTCCAGAAGGTTAAAAAAAGACAGAGTATCCGAGAAGGTTTCATTTTCTTAAAAAAAAGGTACTTTTGGGGTCCTCGACGTTGTATATTAAAAAAAGAAAAAACGTTGGGACCCCCGAGAAAGTTTGACTCTTAAAACAATTTTTGGTTAAAAAATTTAACTCACTAGATTAGTAAAAATTTAGAATTTCAACATACTTTACAATTTCGAAAGTGTAGCCTTTAAGAGATTTATTAGAATATTTTATAAAATTCTTAGAGATTCTCAAAGCATATCAAAAATTTTCGACTTTTCCTTCAAAATTTTGTTCTAATTATTACTGTCGGGAGTTCACTGTTTCGTATCCACGTACTTGGAAGCTTTAGCAGACACCGTCCCAGCGCTAGCACAAACATTACCTGCAACGCATAGAGAAAGCGAATTTTTTATTAACAATTTTAGTGCCCATCCCGAATCACATACAAACGATTGAAATCTCTTCTACAATCCTCAGTACTTAAGTAATTTTACAAAGAGAGTCGCTTTCTCCACCACAATCTAAACAAACACTAATTCTCCCATCTATCAGCTGAAGGAAATTGGTGTTTATCATCTCATGTTCCACAGAATAAACTCATCAATGCTATTCTGTTGATAGGCAATAATTATTACACCACGTACAAAGCAAACAAATTATTTCCGACTACGTACTTTCACCGGAAATTACTTCATCTTATGTGTTTGTTACAAATTAGTCCCGCACGAATCAATATCTTTATGCGCGGATAAGGTCAGGAGCTTCACCTAAATTAAAAAGTAAAAAGTCTGTGATTACTCGCTTTCCAAATCGGTCAACACAACATGAAAGAAATTTAAATGTCGGAATTGAAGAGTTGGAGGCTGGTGGGCAACAGCTCGCTGCGCTCGCGTCAAAAACAGTATTGTCTTCACGCTCTGTATTTCCATATTTATAGACCCGCATTTAAGATTATTGCTTTGTACTAATACAATACACAGAAAACATCCGAAATGTTTATAGTGACTTGCGATACGTAATGCGGGTGCATTGACTACCTACATCAATGTATTTACAAAAAAAGGCAAAACGTTTACCTTGAGCTTAAAGCTGCTTGTGGACCGCGGTTTGGCGACCAGCAACAAATCCGAGAAGAGGAAAAGATGTCTTGGTTTGGCGTTCAGTGGCAGATGTGGCGGAGACATCGCACATGGCGCCTCCACCAAAAATATCCTGTTGCATGCCTCCCTGTGGCTGTCGATCTGGTTGAGATCGCCCAGCGACTTCTTCCGGAACGACTTCTTCTGCAAAAAAAGAAACAAAACGCTTACTTTCACTTGTCAAGTACCCACATGCGAGTGCGTCGGAAATTGCCGGTATAAATCTGTCCCAATGATACCTCGATCGTTTTATTGCACATACGTGCACCGCGTAGTACCGACGCTAACGATATTTAAATGAAAATATTGCGCTTGAAAAAGAACAACTTCCGTGTTAATCCCGCGACAAAAAAGCGACAAGCGCACAACCGTTAGTCCCCGACACGATCTCTGAAAGATTTCTGCATGTTTGTACATTGTATTGCAGCATTTATGCAGTTTTAACGGTCTGTTAATGTGCATTAAAGTACACGAGGTGCATCGAGCGATTTAAATAAACAACTCGGTCTCGATGCACTCGGAATGTTGTGCTTCTTAGTTAAATCCACCATTACGACATCGTAGATTTTATTATGCAAAGCGAAGACGCCGCTCTGTGCACATAATCGATGAAAAATGTCAACCCGGCCGTCGTTTGTTGCCGCCAATTGGGCAATCGATTCAAATCGACCAATTAATTTCGCTCGTTAAACCTCAAGGAAACGGAAAGTTAGACCATCTTGAGGAAAAAAACGTGAAAGGCATCGTAAAAATGGAAACGATGCCTACTGTTTCGTAACGACGTTTTTCTACGGCGAGTGCAAGCTGTCGCTGCGCTGGACGGAGCAGACCATAAATCGGCGATTTTTGCGCCTGGAGAGCTACTTACCACGTGGTACGTTGAATTGGGTTCTGGATCATGCAGACCAAGGTAGTCGTGCGGAAATAAGTCTTGTATGCGATCCAAATCGCGCCTGCGACCGTCCAAGGAGGGCTGCGAACCACCCAGCAAGCGCCCGTAGTCCGCCAAACGTTCGGCCTGCAACAACGAGAAACGGTCAAATTGCGCCCACAACCAGATGTTCTGGTCGAGAAAAAATAGACAAAACGCGCAAGATCAATATTGGTCCTTCGAGCCGGATATCTACGCGGTACTACTTTTATCATTGGCAGAAGCTAGTCCGATAGAGTTGTTCCGGCTGACGCACGCTGTCTTCGCCGGCGGTAAAGTGGGCGCATTAGATCAATGGGCTGTCACTCCGGGTTAGCAGTGCTCACGAACCTAAGACGAAATCGTGAAGATCTAAATAGATCTAAATACGCAAATGGTGTCTAATTGTCGGTTAACAGCTTCGTTCGGAGCTTTTCGCCAGTCCCATAATCACTATTAATTAGACTGTTGAAGTGAAAAATGGACCAGCGCGATTTTTTGCGGATGGTGAATGTAGCGGAGATCGGGTATCGGCGATTTATAACTGCAATTATGGTCAAAAGTTCCTTTTACCTTAATGAATAATAAAACTGGGGTGATGGCTAATGCGTTTCAGTCTATTAAGACGTAAGTGGGATCAAAATAATAAATTATGTTTTTACTGTTTAACACCTACTCGTCTCTTGTACGCGTACAACATATATGTGCAAGACCGTGTCAGATTGGCCATCAAAAATACATTAAAGTCAATATATTGCACCTATTATTTGAGATACACGGACTGGTTCTTATTTGTTTCAGATCGAGGCGGCTGCTTAAATTTTACGAGGTTTATGACTGACAGAAGGGGAAAAATAGTGTCGGGGACCAGGGTCACTCCGGATTTTTGCAATTTAAAGAGAACCTTGGCGAGACAATTGAATCATGGTTTTTATTTTAACTGATGCTCTTAATGTCACATTCCGAATCTGTTGGATGTAGTTATGACGTCACGTGCAGCTCTCACGCTACTTAAAGCTACACTAACTTCAAAATTAGCTGTATTTTTCGTCCTGAGATCTTTTCTTTAGGTTTTTTAATCAAAAATTCAAACTTGTGTTCATTTAAGTTCTATATTTTTCCAACTTAAAAACAATCTTGGAGGGACAACGAAATATTATGATTTCTTACTTTAATTGATGCCCCCCCATGTCTGTGTAGAACATAACTGTGATATAAAATCAACGTCTTGTAACTGATGAGTGGATTTTTTTTTAAATTGGTTCGAAGTGTCACATCCTGAATTTGTTGAATGTTGTTATGACGTCACACGCAATTCCCACTTCATTGTTCTAACTTGAAAACTAGCTCTGATTTTCGCGACCAAGGGATCTTTTTTTTTTAATCAAAACTTGAAACTTCGATGTGAAACCTTCTCGGGGGCCGTTTCTATCTTTTTTTTCTTTAATAATGTGAAGCTTCTCAGGGACGCCTACCGTTTTTTTTTTAATAATGTGAAAGAATCTCAGGAGACCTTTAGCTCTTTTTAATATGAAACCTTCTCGGAGACCCCTTCTGTATTTTTTCTAAAGAATGTAAAACCTTTTCGGGGTCGTCTTTTTAATATGAAACCTTCTGGGAGACCCCTTCTGTATTTTTTCTAAAGAATGTAAAACCTTTTCGGGGTCCCCTACTACCTTTTTTTATGTGAAACCTTCTCGGAGGCCCTTTCTGGTTTTTTTAATGTGAAACCTTCTCGGAGGCCCTTTCTGGTTTTTTTAATGTGAAACGATCTCAGGGGACCTTTCTGTTATTTTTTAATGTAAAACCTTCTCGAGACGCCCTACTGTCTATTTTTTGTGTGAAATCTTTTCGGTGGCCCCTTCTGTATTTTTTTTTTAATAACCTGAAGCTTCTTAGGGACCCCTACTGTCTTTTTTTAATAATGTGAAACAATCCCAGAAGCCCTTCTGCATTTTTTATAAAGAATGTAAAACCTTCTCGGGGTCCCCCGCCCTTTTTATGTGAACCCTTCTCGGAGCCCACTTCTGCCGTTTTTTTATAATGTGAAGCTTTTCAAGGAGTCCTATTATCTTTTTTAAATAATGTGAAAGGATTTCGGGAGTCCCTTATGTCCTTTTTAAAGTGAAACAATCTCAGAAGCACTTTCTGCCCTTTTTTAATATAAAACATTCTCGCAAAGCCCATCTTTATTTTTTCTAAAGAATGTAAAATCTTTTCGGGGTCCCCTACTGCATTTTTTTATGAGAAACCTTCTCGGGGCCCAATTTTGTACTTTTTTTTTATAATGTGAAGCTTCTCAGGGACTCCTATTTTCTTTTTTTAATTAATGTGAAGCGATCTTAGGCGTCTCTTATGTCTTTTTTAATGTGAAACGATCTCAGGAGCCCTTTCTGTCATTTTTTAATGTAAAACCTTCTCGGGGCCCCCTATTGTCTATTTTTTATGTGAAACCTTCTCAGAGGTCCTTTCTATCTTTTTTTTTTAATAATCTGAAGCTTCTTAGGGACTCCTACTGCCTTCCTTTAATAATGTGAAACAATCTTATAAGCCCTTTCTGTCCTTTTTTAAGATGAAACCTTCTCGGAAACCCCTTCTGTATTTTCTCTAAAGAATGTGAAACCTTTTCGGGGTCCCCTACTGCCTTTTTTTATGTGAACCCTTCTCGGAGCCCACTTCTGCCTTTTTTTTTATAACGTGAAGCTTCTCAAGGAGCCCTATTGTCCTTTTTAAATAATGTGAAACGATCTTAGGAGTCTCTTAGGTCTTTTTTAATGTAAAACGATCTCAGGAGCCCTTTATGTTCATTTTTTTTATGTAAAACCTTGTCGAGGTCTCCTACTGTGTTTTTTTTAAATAATGTTAAATAATCCCAGGAGCCCTTTCTGTCATTTTTTAATGTAAAATCTTCTCGGGGCCACCTATTGTCTATTTTTATGTGAAACCTTCTCGGGGGACCCTTCAATCTTTTTTTTTTAATAATCTGAAGCTTCTTAGGGACCCCTACTGTCTTTTTTTATTAAAGTGAAACCATCTCAGAAGCCCTTTCTGCCCCTTTTTAATATGAAACCTTCTCGAAACCTCTTCTGCATTTTTTCTAAAGAATATAAAACCTTTTCGGGGTCCCCTACTGTCGTTTTTTATGTGAAACTTTCTCGGAGCCCAATTTTGTCTTTTTTTAATTAATGTGAAACGATCTCAGGAGCCCTTTCTGTCATTTTTTAAGGTAAAACCTTCTCGGGGCCCCGGATTGTCTATTTTTTTTGTGAAACCTTTTCAGGGACCCTTTCTGTCTTTTTTTTTAATAATCTGAAGCTTCTTAGGGACCCTTACTGGCTTTTTTTTAATAATGTGAAACAATCCCAGAAACCCTTTCTACCCTTTTTAATAGAAACCTTCTCGGAGACCCCTTCTGCATTTTTTCCAAAGAATGTAAAACCTTTTCGGGGTCCGCTACTGCTTTTTATGTGAAACCTTTTCGGAGCCCAATTTTGTCTTTTTTTTATAATGTGAATCTTCTCAGGGACCCCTATTGTCTTTTTTTAATTAATGTGAAACGATCTTAGGAGTCATTTATGTCTTTTTTAATGTGAAACAATCCCAAGAGCTCTTTCTACCCTTTTTAATATGAAACCTTCTCGGGGACCCCTTCTGTATTTTTTATGTGAACCCTTCCCAAGGAGCCCTATTGTCTTTTTTAAATAATGAGAAAAATGATCTCAGGAGTCTCTTATGTCTTTTTTAATGTAAAACGATCTCAAGAGTCCTTTATGTTCATTTTTTTATGTAAAACCTTGTCGAGGTCCCCTACTGTGTATTTTTTTAAATAATGTTAAATAATCCCAGGAGCCCTTTCTGTCATTTTTTAATGTAAAATCTTCTCGGGGCCACCTATTGTCTATTTTCATTCACTGGGGCCCCAAATGTCTTACGGGACAAATGAAATATTATGAGTTTTTACTTTAATTTGATGTCCCATCTCTGTATAGAACACTGTGATATACAATCAACGTCTTTTAAATGATACGAGTGGAAATTTTTTGAAATTCTTCCAAAAATTCTTTGGTATCCAGAAGACCAAAGTTAGGGATTTTGATTCAGAAACTTGTATCAGTTACAACAAACACTTTCAGAAAGAGAGACATCATCATGTCAAAACTAGTCACAAAGATGTTGAATTGAAATCGTGAGGATCCACCGAAAACCCTACAGCGAAATTTTTCCCAACCGACTTGATTCTTTCACACGAGAAAGCACTCTTCGCTATCTTTTCATGTACCGCACTTCAATCTCCTCCCAACTGACAATAATTCCGCGAAATAAAACCCCTCATCGTGTAGACCCTGCCCCAGGTGAGAACTCGCTCTGATTTTTGCTTTCCTCGGATTGTTCGTGTGCACCGTCACGTGACTTTTCCACGTACTCCCCCCGGGCACGCCACTGTTTATGCAAAAATCCAGGAAACTGCAATTATAAATTTGCGCTCAGTTGGCAGTTGCTCCGCTTCCTTTCGGCTCGTTATTCATGGGAGACTAAGCAAAGAGAAAGAGCAAAACGAGGCAAAAGGAGGAAAAAGGAGTGAAACACGACAAATCATCGCCGCAATAAATAACTTTCATTGCAAGTTTTTATGAAGGCTTGCGTCGAGATCGCGCACACACGTCCAGTGATACGGTTATGGGTTTTTACTTTTTCTAAGTAGGTTGGGTGTAAGGCACCGGCTGAATGGAAAGGGGCGAGGCTGAGGTGAAAGCGAGACCTAAGGGCACGGCTGCATCGACAGACGTTTGGTCCTAAGGCCCCATCGTAAACTACACATGGACCGCGGTCACGATATGCTTTTATTTGTATGCAAATTATCGACTTTCATGTTGTGCATCTTCGTAATTAAGCGGCCGGTTGGAAGTTTCTCTTTCGATTTTTATCTAACACTGTTTGTGATTTATTTGGATAGTCTAGACGATTTCGATTACCATATGTGTCAATCGAGATGGGCCGATAAATCTTGAGGATCACGACTCGGAGATGAAGTGGGCAATTGGCAAATTGAGGAGCCGTCTTTCACTGGGTTGGACTTTCTTTGGGCTGGAAAGTTAAGTGCGCGTGGT